CTAAGAGAAATATACTGATATTGAGAATAACAACCCATATTTCTTATGTGGCAAACAAAGCCAAGTATCCTGTTTAATAGTACTGATATGAAAAATTCACAATTGTATCGAATCTGCATTTTACTTGGAGAGAAAGCCATTAGACTATATTCAAAGATAAATTTCTCAAACTTTTTGCAGGACAATAATTAAATAATAGCCAATTCACAGAAATTACAAATAGCAAATAAAATGAACTTGTTTTAGAGTTAGAAATATTTTAAATGAAAGTCACATCTGAACAAAATGTTTGTATTTGAATAAGAAAAATAGATACATAGTTTGATGAGATGTTCTGTAAGTATGCATACATGGAAAACTTGAAAGATACATCATAGACGCATATATAGATAGAAGATGGTAGAAAAATATACAGTGAAAGTGAATGGAGCTAATTCTCATGGAGAAAACATTATGGACTACTTTTAAGAACATGAACATGTTTATATAAGCAACATGAAGTGTACTTGGACTTACAAATTTGGAATAATTTCTTATTATAACATTCACATATTTATTGTAACTGTTTACACATCAACAATGTTATAAAATTAGTCAAGAATTTTAAATTTAGTAGAGATGTTATGTGGAATGTAAAGAGTCATTGTGGCTCAGTGAATCTGGGATCATCAATTGTGCAAAGGAAAGGTCATTGTGTGACCAGTAATATTTTAAAAATAGAGAAACATTATTTTACATTTACTTAAAATTACATATAACATATAAGTACACATCCTTTACTTTAATAGCAATATAATTACAACTAACCTCTTCCTTTTCTTTCATTCAACACTTTCCATGCTCCTGACTCTTACTTGAATCAGTGGCTTCTTTTTCTTTGACATATGTGTCTATATCTATAAATATCAAATGACATATTAATTTTTGGAACTAATTTTATTATATAGACATATCATACATGGATATTCCTTAAATTCCTCAAATTTCATATATATATATATGAAATATATATATATATATATGATTGAGTTTGTTTTTGTTGCTTACGTGTATAAGATTTCAGAGATGACCACTTTGTATTTGATAATTAACTGTGGAGCTTATGGTGGTTTGAAAGAAAATGGCTCCCAAAAGGAATAACACTATTAGGAGGTATAGCCTTTTTGGAGGAAGTGTGTCATTGTTCAGGCAGGCTTTGAGGTCTCTTTTGCTCAGGCTTCATTCAGTGTAACAGTCAATTGACTTCCTGTTGCCTGCCATATATAGCACTCTTAGCTCCAGCACCACATCTGCCTGCATGCCACCATGCTCCCCATTATGAACATAATGGACAGAATTTCTAAAACTGTAGACAAGTAACCTCAATTAAATGTTTCCTTGTAAGAATTGATGAGGTCATTGTGTCCCTTTACAGCAATAAAAAACTAACTAAGACAGAAATTGTTACCAGGAGTAGGGTATTGCTGTGACAGCCCTGGCCATGCTTTTGTTTGGAATAATAAGGACTTTGGAACTTTGGGTTAGGAAAGCAGTGGAGTGCTTTAAACACTCTTAATGGGGCATTAGTAGAAGCATGGAAGACAATGGTACTGATAATTATTTGAAATGTCAATAACTGCCTCAAGAAGTTTCAGATAAGAATTTTAGTATGTTGCCTAGAAATCATTTCTGTGATATTTTTGGTGAAGGAAGTAGCTGCCTTTTGTCCTTGTCCAAGGAGTCTGCCTCAGGCTAAAACAGTTTTGGATGAATTCTGATGGCAGAAGAATTCTCAAAACAGCCTCATATAGACCCTGTCATGTGGATATTAGTGATGACTCTAATGAAGATATAAAATGAAGCGCACCAAGCTAAGCAAGGAAAAATATATGAGGAGAAAAAGATCACCAGAAAGAAGAATGGAACTAAATCCTTTGTTCAAGGAGATAAACAGATTAAGACATTAAATGAAGGAAGTGGTGACATTAGGGTAAGATCCCACCCAGCTAAGTTTCCTACTTGTAAAAAAGAACTGTAGAAAAGCTTAGAGATAGGTGTGGTGGAGCACACCTTTAATCCCAGCACTGGAAAGGCAGAGGTCAGCAAATCTCTGAGTTTGAGGCCAGCCTAGTCTACAGAGAAAGTTTCAGGAGAGCCAAGCTTAGGCATTGAAAGACAGAAGGCTGGTAAAGATGTAATTGAATGAGACGGCCATGTTCCAGCCCCAGGCAAGCAGCAGAACTTGGTAGCTTTGGCCAAGTGGTTCTAGTTTTAGAGTTAAGGATAGAAGAAAGGAGTTATGAAATAAAGCCTCTGAGGCCAGACATGTGTCAGGGGTGTCTCTGAATGGGGGCCATTTTGTGAAACTGTGAAGTTGAAGCTTGGATTGCCTTGGAGAAACCAAGATGTTAGAGATGCCACAGTTGTGGGATATCTTCCAAGGAGAGCTGCGAACTGGCAGTAGAACCAGCACAAGAGAAAAAAGTATGTTGAAGTCAATGAAGTTCAAAGGGTTTGGAGAGCAGAAGAACATTTTGATGTAGAGTTTGGAGTTTGCCCAGCTTGATTTTGATCTCACTGTGCTCCCTTCTATGCATTTTGAAATGGTAATGTATATCCTGTGCCATTATATGTTGGAAGTATGTGATCTGACTTTTTATGTAGCTTTTAAAGGAGATTAAAGTTAAGAGATTGCCATGCGTCTCAGAAGAGACTTTGGACTTTGAAACAAGTTTGAGACTGTTATGGACTGTGGGGATTTTGAGGTTGAACTAAATGCATTTTTGCATTATGATATGGATATAAGCTTTTAGGGGCCAGGAAGTAGAATGTGGTAGTTTGAAAGAAAATGGCCTCTCAAAGGGAGGTGTATACTTGTTGGAGAAAGTGTATCACTGTGGGCATAAGCTTTAAGGTCTCTTTTGCTCAAGCTTCCCTCAGTGTGAGTCAGTGGACTTCCTATTGCCTGCAAGATGTAGTACTCTCAGCTCTAGCACCATATCTGCCCACACATCACCATGCTTCCCATTATGATGTTAATGGACTGAACCTCTGAAACTGTAAGCTATCTCAGTTAAATGTTTTCCTTATAAGAATTGTTGTAGTCATGGTGTCTTTTTAATCTCTTTTTTTTTTTTTTTTTTTTTTTCAAGACAGGGTTTCTCTGTGTAGCTTTGCGCCTTTCCTGGAACTCACTTGGTAGTCCAGGCTGGCCTCGAACTCACAGAGATCCACCTGCCTCTGCCTCCCGAGTGCTGGGATTAAAGGCGTGTGCCACCATCGCCCGGCTTTTTAATCTCTTTATAGCAATAAAAACTTAATCAAGACAGGGCTCATTCCTGGAAGAGACTAATTGTCCCTCCCTCAGCAACAATTAATTGCCTATAGTTATTGAGAACTATGAAATTGAAAACAGAATTGCAGATGACATTACCAATGCTAACACTCACAGGAAACACTTCCAGAGATGCTTCAGTGTTCCATGAAACAGCAATTACATCATAAAACAATATTTAACTTTAATTGCTTGTTCTGAAGTCACAAGAGAATACCACAGCTAATTATTTGTTGACTATAATGCCAGGGGAATTGGTAGTAGGAATAATAAGAGTTAATATCTCCCTCAAATAAGCTCTCTCTACAGAGGCAGGAAGGGACTGCACCTACGACCAACAGGTTTGTCTGCAGGTCTTAGAAAATAGCGGTAGTATTTTTCATGTGAGCTATGTAGAACACAAGATGGCTTTTTATCACTACTTTATAAGAAATATGACTTAGGAGAAATTTTGAGCCACTAAAGACATTTGCATCTGGACATCTAAGGACCAGAAGTCTACTCTTAAAAGTTTTATTGAAAAGACCTTGTTAAGTTATATGCATGTATTTGGAGAAGATACGCCATAAGTGTTTTCAGGAATGTGTTTCTACTTACATATGTGACAATTTAAAATAAATTGTAGTTCAGATAGACATTTAAATTGTTGCATCAAAACAAAGTACACATTCCGACAAAACAAAATGAAGAAAGACTTCAACAGACTCTTACATTTTCTTCACAGGAATGGAGGGATTGAATGAATATTCTAGGTGATTTATAGGGAGAAGAAAGAAATGCATTAGAAAGACACACCATTGTCACTGTTTGTGAGCTTTATTCCTCGATGAGAGAATTTCCTTCCTTCTAATCTGTGTATTTAGCTCAGTGTAGATACTCAGAATAGTTTTGCAGCCATCATCATACTCAGTAGACTAATTTCCACAGTTTTTGACTTGTTAAATGTAACAAGTAGAGATAATCTAAAAGATAATCAAAACAAGAAAATTGATTGTGAGAAGTGGATTTAATCATTTCATATGCTGAAATCTTTCTGAAAGGCAAATACTGACAGTGAAAAACCTTAACAGACTCTTGCATGTTTTTTCCTATTGAAAAGTTTTGGTAAGATTCACTTTACAACAATAAGAGGCAGCACGAAAGGTAACTTACTTTACATTAAAAGCAAAAGTAATCACTGAGTTTGCTAGGCATGACTCCTAGTCCGTACAAATAATATTAATTTTACTGTGATTGCAAGTGACATTGGCGATGTTTAGATACCACAGCATCCAAAAATATTACTACAAATTAGTTGTTATTGGTGATACTTTCTATACTTCCTTGTTTCATTAAGAAATTCAGGACCATTAAAATAAATGATTTAATTTGGCTAACCTTTAGGAGATGCTGCATGTTTGATCACATTTTTATCTAAGTTTCTTAACTATTGTATTGTGCAATAATGATTTTAAATCCTATTTAGGAATGTGATTAAAACTATCCAATCATTCATCATATATTAATAATTTAATTTCTGAATCTCTATTTATTCTGCCTTGATATTTCAACATCTCAAAATCACAAAAAGGGATATATTTTGTTTTACCTTTAGGCATGCAGGCAGTTCATTAGGCATGCTTTATGTGTGAACCTGTTTTCCTGTTTTATTTCCAAGATCAATTTTCGGATCTCACCAGAAGGAATCATGTTTCTGACAGACATAAATCTAACTTCTGAGGCCACGTTCACCCTCTTGGGCTTCTCAGATTACCCAGAACTGCGGGTTCCCCTCTTCTTGCTGTTTCTGGCAGTCTACAGCTTCAGTGTGGTGGGGAACCTGGGAATGATTATGATCATCAGGATCAACCCCAAACTGCACACCCCCATGTACTTCTTCCTCAGCCACCTCTCCTTTGCGGATCTCTGCTATTCTTCCATCATTGCTCCCAAGATGCTGGTGAACCTTGTTGTAGAAGACAGAAGCATTTCATTTTTAGGGTGCATAATGCAGTTCTTTTTCTTCTGTACATTTGTCGTCACTGAACTAATTCTGTTTGCCGTGATGGCCTATGACCGGTTTGTTGCTGTCTGCAACCCCCTGCTTTACACAGTTGTCATGTCCCAGAGGCTCTGCGCCCTACTGGTGCTTGGGTCGTATGCATGGGGTGTGTTGTGCTCCTTGACCCTCACCTGTTCTGCTTTAAAGTTATACTTCCGGGGTTTCAACACAATCAACCACTTCTTCTGTGAACTGTCCTCCTTGATAGCCCTCTCTTGCTCTGACTCTCATCTCAGCCAGTTGCTTCTGTTCATAGTTGCCACGTTCAATGAGATAAGCACACTGCTCATCATCCTTACATCGTATTTGTTCATTATCGTCACTGCCCTGAAAATGCATTCAGCTAGCGGGCACCGCAAAGTCTTCTCCACCTGTGCTTCCCACATGACAGCCATCACCATCTTCCATGGTACCATCCTCTTCCTCTACTGTGTGCCCAACTCCAAGAACTCCAGGCACACTGTCAAAGTGGCCTCTGTGTTTTACACAGTGGTGATCCCCATGCTAAACCCCCTGATCTACAGTCTGAGAAATAAGGATGTCAAAGACACAGTCAGCAAAATAATGAATGTAAGGTATCTTTCTCAGTGACTCTAAGCTTTAACATACAGTTAATTGTGTTACTGAAAAATCTGTTTGGTTTTCAAATGAGTGAACTGTGTATTAACCATTCATTTTTAAATTTCTTTAGATTTTTTTTTAAACAGACATAACATTTTCAGTGAACAGCTGATAATACGCTTCTCCTAAATTTACCCTACCAATTTGGTTGACCTTGACTTCAGTGTTTGTCTTTAATGTTTAGTGTAGTTTATTTTATAGAATGATTTTGTGTAACAAATGAAAATGTACGAGACATATGCGATATATGCATTTGGCACCATCTTACACTGTCAAACATTTATTCTTTATGACAAATGATGCTAGAGTGCTAAATGATTTCCATTTCCAGACTGTGGATTTAGTAAAATAAATGGTAGATAGGAAAAGATGGTTTCATCTTTACAGGACCTCCAAATCCAGAGGTGTTAAATGTCTATCTATCTTATCTATCTATGTATCTATCTGTCATTGATCTATCTATTGTATGTGTATGTATATGATTTTTAATCCTGCTTATCAAAGAAAATATCCAGAGGTAGAGTTTAATGGGGACACTTGAACATTCTCCGCATCATGACTTTTTTTTTTTTTTTTTTTTTTTGGTTTTTCGAGACAGGGTTTCTCTGTGTAGCTTTGCGCCTCTCCTGGAACTCACTTGGTAGCCCAGGCTGGCCTCGAACTCACAGAGATCCGCCTGGCTCTGCCTCCCAAGTGCTGGGATTAAAGGCGTGCGCCACCACCGCCCGGCTGACTTTTTGATAGCTGCCATTCAGTGGTTCAGTGTAGCTGCTATAAGCGTTTGGATCTAAATGCCTTGGTTGTACATAAAAAGTATACTAAATTCTCATTTCTTTTCCTCAGTTTAATTTTTTTGTTTTTATTTTTTTCAAGTTAGGGTTTCTTTTTGTAGGCCAGCCCAGTCTCCTGGACTCACTCTATAGACTAGGCTGGCCTCAAACTCAAGAGATCCACCTGACTCTGTCTCCTCCCAAGTACTGTGATTAAAGGTATGTGCCACTCAACCCAACTTAAATTCTCACTTCCAATTTTAGCCTAAACAGAGAAAAGAAGACCAAGAATATTGTTTACAGTAGAAAAGGTTGATATTCCTATAATTATTGTGACATTTTTCATTAAAAATCTCAAAGAGAAAATGTTAGATTTGGAATTTCATATTTATCTTTTATTAGATTGCCCTACATTTCTGTTGGATTGCATAGAATATAATGGTCTCATAGTCCACATTCCCTATGTCTGGATCACAGAGGTATTGAGAGACTTACCTCTCTCTCTCTCTTTCTCTCTCTTCCTCTCTCTCTCTCTCTCTCTCTCTCTCTCTCTCTCTCTCTCTCTCTCTCTCTCTCTCTCTCTCTCTCTCTCTCTGACAGTGTTCTGTACACCAGGTTGGCCTGCAGCTCAGAGATCAGCCTGCCTCTGGGATTAAAAGTGTATGCCTTCATGCCTGGCTTTTTCACTTTTTCAATTGATTGATTACCTTCTGCAAGAGTAGAAATATAGTAGAAGGTTTTTATGTTATTTTTCTTAAAATCAATAAAATAATAATGAATTACTGTAGCATGAATCTTAAAAGTTCTTATTAATAAAATCAAACCTGAGGCCAGTTATTGGGGTCAATGCTGGTAGATCAGAGAGACAGAACAAGCCACAGCTATCTCACCTCGCCGGATGGATCCTCAGCTGGTCTTGTCTCCTCAGACTGGAGGCCTCCGTGTCCTCATCCCAATGGCTCTCAGCTGAACTGTGCTTGAAACCTAAAAGCTTAACCAGCCAAATGCTTCTCATTTCTGGTCCTCACGCCTTATAAACCTTTCTGCTTTCTACCACCACTCCCTGGAATTAAAGGCTGCTTTCTGGGATTAAAGGTGTAAGTCACCATGTTTGGCTGTTTCCAATGCAGCCTTGAACTCACAGAGATCCAGAGGGATTTCTGTCTCTAGAATGCTAGGATTAAAGGCGTGTGCTACCACTGCCTAACCTCTATGTTTAACATTGTGGCTTTTCTGTTCTCTGACCCCAAATAAGTTTATTAGGATACACAATATTTGGGGAACACAATACCACCACAAATTACCACTTTCAACTAATGAATTGTTGTTTCTTCCAATGAGAATATGACTATGTGTTTTCTTTAAAAAAGGATGGTGCCAAGTAACCTTTTACTCTGATAAATAATATTTTTAAAATAATAATTTAATTTTTGAGCTTCTGCAATCAAGATAACAATTGAGAAACTGGCCTATATAAAAAACATGTTTAGTAAACACTTAATGAAAATAATGATATTTTCATTCTGTGACTTTCAATTTTAAGGAACCTGTGATAGGGAAAATAACTAACATATAGAACTTGATTTATTTTTGTGGATTCAATTTTCATTCCTATGATGCTTAAAATATTTACATTTGAAAAAAATACTAAAAACAGTTTCAAGTGTGAACATGTTTGTTTCATATTTTTTATTTCATATTTTTATACATTTAAATTGAACCAACATGAAACTGGAGAGATAGCTCAATGGTTAAGAGCACTTAATGGTCTTGCAGATAATCTGGTTTGGTTCTTAGGACCCACATGGTGACTCACAACCATCTGTATCTCCATCCCTAAGGTATCCAATGTTCTCTTCTCAAGACCTCTGGCACTAAACATGCATGTTGTGTAAGTACATATATGCAGCCAAACACTCATTCACATAATATAAAAATAAACAAATCTTAAATAAATTGAAAATAGACAAAATTTTCAGTTTATGTCACAAATATTTCATGCCCAACATGATTAAACTGAAATGAATTGATGTGAGATTTCATGACATTTCTCCTGCCTATGACTCACACTTAAATTATACTTACATTCTATGCGTATTTCTTTTGTTAAACCTCTGAATATCTTCTGTGAAACTTAAATTGTATGGAAATCGATGTTTACTTATTTTTATTTATAATAATAACTAATCCAGCCATGATTGCCTTTATAGAATACATTGGTGAGAAGACAGGATTCTGAAAAATGACCTTGCTCAGTCAGTTGGTCAGCCCAGAAGGAATGTTTGCAGAGACAGCTGTCTCCTTTAAAGCAGACAATTCAAGGAAAGAATGCAGAACTGCCCTGGCAACCTATGGCTACATCCTAAACCCAAGGAAAGAGAAACTGCGAAACTGCCCTAGCCTCTTGTGAATAAAAGCAATTCCCTTACCCCACCCCCCATAAGGAGCCACAACCAGCTTTTCTCCCTCACGGGCAACCCTTTTCCTGTGAAATAATGTCCAGCCTTCACAACTTAAATAAACAGTCCAGTCTGTTGAGATCAGGCTCTGGTTTCTTTGCTGTCTTTAGTCTCCTCATGGTGCCTCAGAAATCAAACATATTCTACTCCTATGAATTGTTTCCATTAAATATTTTGTTAAGTATTAAAAACTCACAAAATACATCTTGAAATGTATTCCCTAATCATATTTATTAAGGTGCCATTTTATTAGTTGGTGTGGAATAATCCCCTTCTATTCTGTAAAGATTGTCACTTGAATTGGTTTAATAAAATGCTGATTGGTAAGCAGCCAGGCAGGAAGTATATAGGCAAGGAGACCAAAGTAAGATGATGGGAAGGAGAAGAGCAGAGTCAGGAGTTGGAGGAGAACTCAGAGGGAGCAGGAAATGAACGTGCCATGCTAATAAACATATCACCATGTGGCAAAGTGTAAATAAGGAATATGGGTTAACATAAAATGTAAGAGCTAGTTAGTAGTAAGCCTGAGCTATTGGCCGAGTAGAGGAAGACAGTAATATAGAAAGAATCAACCAGCCATTCAGCAACATATGGAAAATATATCCAAGAGTTTATGTATAACAATATAGAAATATGAAATCCAACTTACCTGAGGTAAAATTAAATTCCTCAAAGTTGTTAAAACATATATATATATATATGTATGTATGAAATTTTGTTTTAGTAAAGTAGGAAATGAAACCAAACTAAAGTTAAGAAAGCAATTTTATGTCAAAAGGAGTACAGCTCTTAGAAATATGATAAGCAAAGTTTGAATAAAAAATCACTAGCATACTTGTGAAGGTCCATTAATTGAAAAATCTTCCTGACCAAGAAAATAGAATGTTTGACCTAAGTGAATGCATAACATTCCAGTTGGGCACGGTTAATCACCCAACCAAGGGTCCACCTCCTAAGAAGGTGGGCTCACCATAAACCGTTTCAAAGCAATAGGAAGAATAATTAATATTTTAATGGGATACTGTACTTTTCATTCTCAGATTCTCCCACCTCCAACCACAGCCATGAGGATCCACCATGAGGTTTATAAAGAAAGGAAAAGACAACACTGCTCCTAGGTTTGGTTGAGGAGAAAGTTTATTGTAGATGAAAGGGAGAACATCGCCAGAGGCAGAAACATCTGCGAGAGTCTACAGTGGTCATGACCCTGAGCCATGTGAACAGAGGTAGGAGGAGAAGAGAGTATGAAGAGAGGGGAACCAGGTATACGGCAGCCAAGGGGGCAAAGGTACAAAAGGGGTGTGTAACCAAACTGGCTGGATCATATAGGGAAGAGCCTCCAGGGAGGAGGGCAGCCCAGCCCAGGGCTGAAGAGTTCAGGCTCGGTGGTTGAGTATTCCAATCATACCCTGTAACAGGTAGAGAATGAGAGATAATGGGGGGACCTGGGGGCCAGGTCCACTTCCATATGTTAAACAGGCACCTCAACCTTTGTCCCAGGGTTTGAGACTTAACAAGGTTTGTCTGGGTCTGCCACCTTTGGGACCTGACTCAGAAAAGAGCAACTTTTTCTTACTTATTTTTTCCTGTCTTTTTCATTCTGATACTGATCAAAACCTATGTGTGTCTTTTCTAACTCTTTGGCTTCCCTAGCGTTTCTCTAGAGCCTCCTCTTACCTGTAGCAGCGTTCCTACCAAGTGTCTGAACTTGATGCGGGATTGAAAGAGGTGACATTTTTCT